TTTTTTTTTTTTTTTTTTTTCTTTATAAGTTTTGTTTGGTTCACAAGAAAAGGACGAGACTTTTTAGTTTGGAAGTGGCGGCGTGAGTTTCAGTTGTCTTTATTTTTCAAATTGAATTGGATAAATTGCCTAATTTCATTTCTGATGCGTACAGATAAGTCAGTATTTATTTTGCATTTACAACTATTTGTATGATGTGCTACTTAGAAAGGATGAAGATTTGAAAAAATTTTATATTTTTCTTTGAAATTAATTGTCTGGAATCCTTTTTTTTGGGAAGTAAATCTCTTGGAAAAACTAAATTAATGGAATAGGATCTTTGTATTCATTCAAATTTGGTACTAACTAGGTATTAAATTAAATTAAGTGATTGGTTTAACTTGCTCATAAATTCCATTGACTTTCTGTTTGCACTTAGCATATCAGCTTCTCAACATTCACACACAGTTTGTGGAATCGCCAACTAGCCATTGTTTTGTACTGGCTATCAATGAAGACTTGCATGCTTATTAAATTATGCTTGTTGCATGGAGGGAGACATTCATTTTGCCATGTGCTTTGATCTGTCTTGGTCATTGTTAGAGGGTATACCACAACAAATTAAGTTAGGTGGAGCGTTTACAATTGCGTTTCTTCTCTGCAATGTATCATTATTGTAACAGTGAAAGATTACGACATCTTGTGAAAAACTGTTGATAAGAACATAGGATTTAGGTTATCTTTTATCACATTTATAATTGCCCTCTAGAATTTTGTGTAATTGAAACGGAAATTGTAATATTTGACCCTTATATTTTGTCATATTAGTTCAGTTCTCTTGTTTACTCCTGTTATCTTTTCATCCATGATCCAATTGACTCTTTTCCCCTTTTTTTCGGTGTACATATCAGGCAATTACTTCAACTGGGGTTAAGAAGGGTGAGCTGTTTTTGGCAGATGTTAGCACTCAGCTGAAGAACAAGAATATCACAACTGATGTGAAAGTGGATACTAATTCCAATGTAAGTTGTTGAAAGATAGTTTTGGGCTCTTTTTTTCTTTCCTTAGCTAATAATTGTCAATACCATGATCTTACAATAACTTAATAGATCATACCAATTTTCTTATGCATTTCAGCTGCGTGCAATCATTAGTATTAGTATTAGAATCTTTAGTGTCTGTCAAAGGGAGCTGTGCTGGTTTTGAAGTTTGACATAGTGAATTCAAGGTTTGGATCACAATAGTCTTGTCATAAGGTTTGGATTTCCTAATTAATGTTATTTTTGTGTTTGTGTAGCTTATTACAACTGTTACTGTTGATGAACCTGCACCTGGATTGAAGACGATCTTTAGCTTTATTGTACCTGATCAAAGATCTGGCAAGGTCAGAGAGGCTTCTTTTTTCTGGCTATTTTAGTTTGTATTGCTGATATTGGTTTTCCCAACATTATTATGGGTTGGCTATTTAGTAGTTCAACTGTTGCATTGCTCCTATAAAATTATGGTTTCCCTAAGTTACTGATAAATGTGTCAATTATTTTGTAACAGGTGGAACTGCAATACCAGCATGAGTATGCAGGAATAAGCACTGGCATTGGATTGACGGCAAATCCCATTGTTAATTTCTCTGGTGTGGTGGGAAACAATGTTCTCTCCCTTGGAACTGATCTTTCATTTGACACTGCTACTGGAAACTTTACCAAATGCAATGCTGGGTTGAGTTTCACTCATGCTGACCTCATTGCTTCCTTGAATTTGTAAGTATCTCTTTTCTGTAGAGAAAGAGGGTTATTTCACATGCAGTTTTTTCTTCCTTGAGAGATTATCAGAAGATAGTCTTTTCTTGGAAACCAATTGCTTAAAATGATTTCAGGTCTGATCTGAGTAATTATTTCAGAAATGTGAAAGATTGTAGGAACCATTTGTTTGACCATTGTATTTTTTCTCTGACTGCAGGAACGATAAAGGTGACACCCTTAGTGCTTCTTACTATCACATTGTCAGCCCATTGACTAATACAGCTGTTGGTGCAGAGCTGAGTCATAGCTTTTCAAACAATGAGAATTCTCTGACAATTGGAACACAGCATGCCCTTGACCCCTTGACTGTAGTCAAGGCTCGAGTAAATAACTATGGCAGAGCAAGTGCTCTCATTCAGCATGAATGGCGTCCAAAATCTCTCTTCACCATATCGGGTGAGGTAGATACCAGAGCAATTGAGAAGAGCGCCAAGATTGGACTGGCGTTGGCACTGAAGCCATAGGCTGAGTCACTATTATTGCATAAGTGAAATGCAAGCCTTCATTTTGAGTTGAGGGCCCTGCTAAACTTCCATGAAATTGGATGGCTACAGTTACACAAATAATTACTGTTAACCGACATTGGTGATTTGTTTTATTGAATTTCTATTGAAGTGCATTACGGTTTTGTTGAACTAGTTTAATGATTTCTTACTCATGATCTTTTACTTTCAGCAAAAAGAGATTATCAATGAACTACTTTAGTCGTTGGTACAATATTGAGATTTTAAGTGTTAGATAAGCAAAGTTCCCTAATAATGTGGACATTGCCCTGCAAGCTTTTTTTTTTAAGATCAGTTATTATTGGGATGAGTTTTATTTTAAGGCTAAGGGTTCCTGGTTGGTTAATCAACAGATAAGATTTGAGTCATTTTCTTCTCAGCTCCAAGCAGCTTGGGTTGGTAAGCAATATGGTGGCTGTTTGAATGTGCAGGGCCCATACTGATAGTGGCTTGTCTAAGGGGGTGTTTTGGTGGAACTTTGGAGCTGCTTATGAACTACTGTTTCTCTAAGGAAAAGTTGTTTTTTGGCATTTAAAGAGTTCATAAACAAGTTCTACAACAAGCTTTAAATTGGATATTTCTTCTTTCTTTTTTTCTAAGAACTTTCTTTGAAGTTTCAAGAATGCTAAAAAGTGTCTCTTTCAACGTTATTTGAAATTTGTGACAGAAAAAATGGTTTTAGGCAACTCAAATATAAACTCCCCCAAAATGGTAATAGTAATACCTTTTAACTCTGAGCTCTAGGAAGTGGTGTCTAGTTACCAGGAGTAGCGTTTGATTACTAACATTAATTTCCAAGCGCGTTTGGAGGGAGGGATAAAACATGGGATAGGGCACAAATTTGTCTTTGTCCCATTGTATCCCACATTTGGGATGCACAGAGGATGGGATACGTTGTATCCTATATTTTATCCTATTCCAACATCCTTCAATAAAAACGTTTGTATGGATTAAAAACAAGGTAGCGGCTGAGTGTGCTGCTGGTGTTGAAATGCTTGGGCTATCTAAAGCGATACCGTAGAAAACAAGAAGTGCAGGGCAGCTGAAATTAAGCTTACGCCCTCAAACTTAAAATTTTGTTAATTTTAAACCCTCAAACTATACGAATGTATTAAATTAGCCCCTCATTAATGGAGGGGCGACCAACATCATAATGTTTCATCTTGAACAATTACATTAATCTGACTAGACTATGTTTTAGACACACGTGGCATCAATGGAGGATGAGTTGAAACGGCTTAAAATGAAATTGTTATGATGTCTAACTCAGCCTCTATTAATGCCAACATGTATCCAAAGCATG